GGAGCAGCGCGGCAGCGCCCCCGTGTGGCCACAGGGCTGAGCACAGGAGACCAGAGCCGCCCTTTCTCCTGCTCAGCCAGGCCCTCCCCAGGCTCCCTGGGCCCCCAGCGGCAGGACAGGTCCACTGTCAGGTTAGGCGTCCTGTCCTCAAACTTCCTCCCTAGGGAGTGGCTGTGCACATAGACCTCAGGGAAGAGCCACGTCTCCAGGTCATAATAGCTGGTTCCCAGATTCTGGGTGAGTCCCTCTTGTATACAGGTTCCCTCAGTCTCTTTGGATGAAATTTTGGGCTCCTGAGTCCCTGTTATGTGTTCCTGCTTCCAGGGATGAAGTGTCTTCTCCTGGGAATCAACCCTAAATTCTCCATTCCTGGGTGAGGAAAGGAATCAAATAATAGAATCCGAGACACTGTTCTAGACCTTCTAGCATCCAGGTGATTTCTGTGCTCACTGAAGTGGGGGCTCCCTAGTCTCCGTGTCTTCTCCACATGGTGTCAGAGAGTGCAGTCAGCTCTAGGGGGTATCTGCTCAGATTGCTCATCACTGGGGGTTCTGGGGTTTAACCTGCTCCTTTATTTTCCTGAGTCATCTCTCCCTGGGGGAACTTACCAAGCTCAAGTCTTCAAACATCATTCACATCCTATCACCTCCCAGGTCTATTTCTTAGCTCAGATATTTCATCTCTTCTCCAGACTTGTCTGTCCAATTGCCAACCTCACTTTCATTTCTAATAGATCTTAGCTTCAGCTTTCCTAAATTAAAGACCAAGGATGCCCACACATGGTTCTTTGGGGTCTTCCCCATGTCACTGCAGGCTCCACCACTGCCTGCACAGTCTGAAACACTGAGTGTCATCCTTGACCCCTTTCTTACAGCCCAGCAGTAGGAAATGCTGTAAAGTCCATGTCTAAATACACACAGATCCTATCACTGCCTGTTATTTCCCTGCTCTCCTCCCCCTCCCCCAACAAAGCCACCAACCTCTCTGTCCTGGGACCTGTACTGGTTTCCTCCATTTCTCTTTCCACCTCTCACCCCTCGATGCTGCACAGCAGCCAGACTGAGACTCCTCAAGAGAAATCGCACAGGTCATCTCTGTTCAGAAAATCCGGTCATCTCTTGTCACCCCAAACATTACTCAGAAAGTCAAACCCCGCCAGCATCTCTGGCTTACACCCCAGTTCTTGTATGCAAAAATAAATAAATCTTACTTAAAAAAAAAAAGAAAGTCACACTCAACATCTGTGAGGCCTGAATGATCTACGTGCACACAGATCCCATCTCAGTTACCCGCTGGTCCAGCAGCCTTTCCCTGAGCCACACAGATTCCTGCCTCAGGCATTTGCCCTGGAGGTGGTCCTGCCTGGACAGAACTTCCCTGGACATCCTTGTGGGCAACATGTTCATCACACTTTTTCTCAAAGGTCATCTACGTGAGGCCCACACTGACCATGCTGGGGAGCAGCCGGCCTTCCTGTCCCCACACACTCTGGGCAGGGCTGCTTAAGGGTAAGGTTAGAGGGAGAAGCTGTAGAGGAAACAGAAACCCAACAGGACATTAAGATGAAAAATTACCTAATCCTCCTCTCTACTAATACCAGAATTTGGTTCTTTAAAAAAAGATGTGGAAAAGATGGAAAGAATTATCCAAAACACAGTCTAAAATGAGGCCCAAACCTGGATGAGTCTGGAAACCAATCTCTAACACCAGACTCCTGTGTGCAGGGATTGTCCTGGGTCTTGTGGGAACAATGACAGATGCCTCATGCTGCTGTCAGAGACGGGGACACCCAGAGGACATGAGGCCTGGTCTCTAAATATGAACAGAAAAATAAAAACCAAAATAAAATATAGACACATAGAATATGAAGACTGAGGACACAACTCTGGTCTGACTCTAGGCTGACCCAGCCGCATGCAGCCTCCACCCACATCCTGGAGACAGGACAGGCCCAGGGGGTTCTGAGACCCTGTGATCACAGGCCCTGCTGGGACAGGTGCTCCTGAAGGACAAGGACAAAGGAACAGAGAGATGACCCCTGAGGAGTGACCATGTCAAAGCTCATGATGCACTGAGCACTGACTGGACACAGGCCCCATCCCCCTTGGCTCCTCACAGCCTCTCCCGCCCCCACCTGCACAGACTTAGCACAGCAAACCTGCAGTCCTGGCTGGGCCTCAGGGCTCCTCTTTGTTTCATCTCAAATTTTAGGAATCTGCTAATTAACCCAGCACTGCTGACGCAGACAGCTGATGAGAAGTTCTCAGCTATCAACGAAGACTCGGAGTCTAAATGTATTTGCAGCAGGAGAGGCCCGGAAGAGCCATCGAGAGCAGCTCTGCCTCTCACTCTAACAGCCCAAGCTTTTATTAAAGATATGAACAAAAGAACAAGAAACTAGCACGCAATTGTGTTTTTGCTTATACGAATGAGTAAGTTACTGCTGAAAACAAGTTTTCCAGTTAGTGGGGAACATTCACACAAGCTAGCATGTCCTCAGAGAACAGGAGTCAGTTCTGGAAAGAAATTTCTGTTTGCAGCACTTCTAACCTCCTGAATTCCATGTGCAGAGTAAACAGGTGCTCTCAGAGAATGCCAGTGCCCTTTAGGGCAGCAGGCTGCCAACATATCCCCCTTTATGCTTTTGAAGCAGAGTAACTATAACTAGCTTTGGCAAAGCCTGTTACCCAAGCAAAAAATAGAATCTTGTAATTACTGTATTTAGTCCAAGATTTCTTTGTCAGCATGGATTTGGTTTTTCCAAGTTTCTGTAAATTTTTTTTTGAAAGTTGCAGATACTCAGAGGCGTGCTCCTGCTCATGCGGGGCAATGGCGGCAGCAGCTGCAGCAGCGATGATGCTGGCCAGGCTAGCAGTGCCTGCAGTCATCACCCTATGACAGTGTTTTAAGCGATGCAGCAACTCCTGCGTGAATGTGATAGAAGAGACCTCTTACCACCGTTCCTGGAGTTCAACTGGAACCTAAGTGGCTACTGGCCTTTGTTTAATTACTTCACAGCTGCCCATGGGATGACTTTCACAATTCCACCCCAAGATGGCAATTCTGAATGAGTACATTTGAATAGCCAACCACTCCTGGAACTCTATATGCAGAGCAAACAGGTGCTCTCAGAAAACTCCAGCTCCCGTAAGCACAACAGGTGTCCCACACAGTCCCACATGACCAGGTAAGAAAAATTTCATATCTGATGATCTTCAATAGGCAGGTAGACATTATTCTTCAGGAACTACAAAGTACAGGCAGGGATGTAGTCAGCGCCATCTCTGCTGGAGCAGGAAAGTCATCAGGGAGAGAGCACAGGTCAGTGTGGGGAGGGTACTGGTGAACAGGGCTGGGCCAGTCTCCCCACTGCCTCACATTATCATTTAAAAGTTAGAATCAGGGCCTCCCCTGGTGTCGCAGGCAGTTGAGCACAGTGCTGTGAAGCTGTCCATAGCCTCTGCAGTGCCAGTTTGAGCCTCTGCAGTGCTAGTTCGAGCCTCTGCAGTGCTGGTTCGATCCTGACCGGCGGCCGGTGCAAATCCCACATGGTGTGGCAGACCTCTCCTGTCTCCCTGCTGCTCCCCTCAGCAGTGTATTTCAGTCAGTCTGCCTGTTCTGCTCCCCACTCTGTCTCTGGTGAATCCTCTCACCTTCCTGGGCCTCTGGCCTATACCTCAGTTCTTGTATGCATGAATAAATAAATCTTAAAAAAAAAGTTAGAATCATTCATATGCCTTTTCCAACAAAAAAGAACGAGAGTCCCGTGGTATTCTTGCATCACCGGGGAGGCACTGCATAAATATATAAATGTAGACACAAAGTACTATGAGGGACAGACTTTATTAAAAAATGTGGGTTTTTTTTGTATTCCCTTATATCCAGACTCATGGTTTCTTTTCGCCTTTTAGGACCCTCCAAAATTCACTCCCAGCCTGCTTGGTCCCTTGCCATACTCCTGCTTGCCTTCTCTTTGTCCTGTGCATTCTGAACCTCTTGGTTAGTTTTGTCTCCTGCAGGTTAAAAGCTACAAACCTTCAGCTTGCAGGTATCTCCAGTCCACTATGTACTGGCCCCCTGGACAGACCTGCTCAGACAGGACACCACTGCCCTGCCCTACTCCGCCCCCTCCCAGCAGGAAGTAGCCGGATAGACTCTGAAGCTGCCCCCTACCCTGGAGGCTGCTCTGGTGCCATGCTCTCTCTGGTGGGACTGAGAAAATCTGAAACCAGGAGAACTTGGGGAACAGTAAAGTCTAAGATACGGGCCTATGCATAACTCCATCTAAAAGCTGGGTCTGGTACAATGACCCCTACATGTGAGGGAGGCTTACAGCATCCTGAAAAAGGAACCCAAACTCATATGAACATGAACTTCAAAATAGAAAATTTTTGATTCTGCCTGTGTGCTTAATCCATATGTTGTCAGGAAATGTTCATGTTAGTTATAATGCATCCTATTCCATGTATCGTGTTACTTGTAGTGACTCTTACCTGCAACAATGTATTAATTGGATGTATTGGGAATCTAGTCTAAATATCACATTCTTAATACTAAAACAGCTGGTAGCCACATGGGTTCCAGGTGAGCTCCAGGATCCGTGACAAGTGACCCTTTTATCATATTTAAAAGGAGCTGCTGCATCACTTAAAACACCACACCAGGGCCTCCCCTGGTGGTGCAAGGGGTCGAGCGCTATGCTATGAAGCTGTCCACAGCATCTGCTGTGCCAGTTTGATCCCCGCCGGCGGGGGAGGGTCCCACATGGGGCGGCAGACCTCTCCTGTCACGCCCGCTGCTCCCCTCAGCAGTGTATTTCATCAGTCTGCCTGTTCTGTTCCCCATTCTGTCTCTGGTGAATCCTTTCACCCTCCTGCGCATCTGGCCTATACCCCGGTTCTTGCATAAATAAACAAATAAATAAAATCTTTAAAAAATGAACAAACAAAAAAACAAACAAAAAACACACCAAAAGAGTCATACAGGCTATGCCAAAACTAATTATACTTTTTTTAAAAAAGATTTATTTATTTATTTATACAAGCATGGGGTACAGTCAGAAGTGCGGGAGGGTGAGAGAATTCACCAGAGCCAGAGTGAGGAACAGAGCAGGCAGACTGACGAAATACACTGCTGAAGGAACGACGGGCACAGCAGCAATACATTGTTGCAGAGGAGAGGTCTGCTGCACCATGTGGGACCCTCGCCTGGGGCAGGGATTGATCCGGCACTGCAGAAGCTGTGGGCAGCCTCGCAGCCCAGCGCTTAACCGCTGCACCACCAGGGAAGGCCCAAAGCTAGTTATACTTTGCTTTAAAAATAAAAAGGGGGATATTATGGGAGTCTGCTGCCCAAAGGGAGCTGGAGTATTTGAAGAGCACCAGTTTACTCTGCACACAGAGTTCCAGGATGTTAGAAGTTCCACAAACAGAACTTCTTCCCAGAACTGACTCCTGTTCTCTAAGGATGGGCTGGCTTGTGTGCATGTTCCCTGCTAATCAGGAAAGCTTGTTCCAGCAGTAACTTAATAATCTGTATGAACACAAACACAATTGTGTGCTATTTTCTTGTTCCTTTGTTCATGTCTTTAATAAAAGCTTGGGCTGGAAGAGTGAGAGGCTGAGCTGCTCTTAACGGCACTCTCGCAGCATCCCCCCATTGCGAATTCATTTAGAGTCTTCATTAATGGCAGAGAATTTCATCAGCTGTCCTGTCTGCAGCAGATGTTGAAGTCACAAAATGAAGATGAGAAGAAATCCTGCATCACTCAGTCCCCAAAAGGCAGCTGGCTCACACTGTGAAGGAAAATGATCATGAACAAAGTTAGGAAGTGTTGACCTTCTCCATAGTCCACCGCATCCTCAGAATGACCCCTCACAGCTTCCCCATCACTTGGTCCCATCCTCTCTGGCCCAGTCCCTCCCACCGCAGGTCTCCAGGGTCTCACCTTTAGGGGCTGAGAGAGACACATCAGAGCCCTGGGAACTGTCGTTGCCTGGGGGAGAACAAAACAGAACATGGTCAGAGCCATGAGAGATGAGACCACAGGAGGGACTAATGTGGGTGACTCCCCCCTGGGCTCCATCTACACTGTCCCCAGGGGCTCAAGGACCAAACCCCTGATGAGCACTTACCTGCAGCCTGAGTGTAGCTTCCTCCTTGTCCACCTGTGGGAAGAAACATCCTATAAGACCACAAATGAGTCAGGCCATGAAATCCTAAATGAATTCCCTGGGTCACAGGGAAGTTTCCAAAACTGTGCCTGAGAACCCCAGGCAGGACCAGGAGATATGAAGGAAGGAGATGAGGGGTGACTAGCGCAACCACCTCCTGGAGTCTGTCCTCAGCAGGGACCTTTCCTGCTGGGAATCAGGATCCCATGACCAGAACTGCTGGAGACCCCCTAAGGCATAAAGTGCTGAGACAAGGAAAACATCAGGGTCATGGCTGGAAGACAGGTCAGCACGGGTCCAAAGACTGGCCCTTGTACAGACCAGGATATTCTTTCTTGTGTCTGCGAAACTATGTCTGGGGGACAAACTAGATTAGAAAAGAAACAGAATAACCTGATAGCGCAGAACCTTGGCCGTGAATGTGCGCCTGGACAAGGCTAAATGCCAAGAGAATGCTCATTGCCTAGTAACTAACCAGGAGGGAGGGGGCGGTTTGTAGCAATAAAAATGAGTTGCACCAGGCACTCGGGACACTCCAACATGAATGAGGGGCCTTGTGTCCCCCGGGTCCTGCTTCTCTTAAACTCTATTTTGTGTCTGTCATTTCTTTACTTCCTTGGTGCAATCAGATTCCTCTCTCAACCCTGTTCACCAGAGCTAGACTCTGGCAAGAATGATCAAGGTGAACAAGTGGTGATTTATTATTTTTTTTAAACTCTTTTTTTTTAAAATTTTTTATTTATTTATTTATACAAGCACTGGGTATAGTCAGAATCGTGGGAGGGTGAGAGAATTCACCAGAGCCAGAGCGGGGAGCAGAGCAGGCAGAAGGACCGAAGTACACTGCTGAGGGGAGCAGCGGGCGGCAGGAGAGGTCTGCGCGCCATGTGGGACCCTCCTCTGGTGGCCGGGGAGCAGCCGGGGATCGAACTGGCACTGCAGCTCAACGGCTGCACCACCGGGGAGGCCCTGGTGATTTATTTTTATAAATGATTTACAAAAGACTGAGGAGTAGCAATTAGCTCCAGACTGAGCAACACAGTATATAGATGGTACTTCCAATTACCAAGTAAGGCAAGTTCTACCTGGGATTTGAAAGCCCCCAGTAGACAAGACCCCCACCCACTTCCTTCTTGAGTATTTTTTTTAAAGATTTATTTATTTTTGAAGATTTATTTATTTATACAAGAACTGGGGTATAGGCCAGATGCGCGGGAAGGTGAGAGTATTCACCAGAGGCAGAGCGGGAAACAGAACAGGCAGATTGACGAAATACATGATGAGGGGAGCAGCGGGTGTGACAGGAGAGGTCTGCTGCGCCATGTGGGACCCTTGTCAGCGGGCCGGGATCGAACCCATACTGCAGAGTCTGCAGACAGCTTCACAGCGTGGCGCTCAACCACCTCTGCCACCAGGGGAGGCCTAAGATTTATTTATTTTTATACAAGAGCTGGGGTACTAGCCAGATGCGCAGGAGGGTGAGAGGATTCAGCACAGACAGAGTGGGGAGCAGAACAGGTAGAAGGACCAAAATACACTGCTGAGGGGAGCAGCAGATGCGACAGGAGAGGTCTGCTATGCCATGTGGGAATCTCCCTGGCTGGCCAGGAATGGAACCCGCACTGCAGATGCTGCGGACAGCTTCATAGAGTTGTGCTCAACCCACAGCACCACTGGGAGGCCTTACCTGAGTATTTCTTTTTCCACATCACAGCTGCAACCACCACAGCGCCACTGAGCACAGCTCCAAAGAGAACCAGGCCAGCAATGATGCCCACGGTGGGGATGGAGGACTGAGGAGGGGGCACTGGAAGGGAAGGGAAGGTGAGACTCTGACCCCCAGGCCTCACCTTGTCCCTCTAAATGTCTCCAGAAGGGCTCCTGATGTCCCTGAGATGCTCTGTTCCCAAGTTCCCTCCTTACCCCAAGTCAGGACTTGGGGCTCCAGCAGTCCCTCATGCTGTACATGGCACGTGTATCTCTGCTCCTCTCCAGAAGGCACCACCACAGCCGCCCACTTCTGGAAGGTTCCATCTCCCCCAGGCCTGGTCTCCACCAGCTCTGTCTCCTGGGTCAGATCCTCCCCATCACACTGCCAGGTCAGGGTGATGTCCGCAGGGTAGAAGCCCAGGGCCCAGCACCTCAGGGTGACCTTATGCTCAGAGGTGGGGTGGTGAGTCACATGTGTCCTTGGGGGATCTGAGGAGAAGGGTCAGAACAATTACACTTTGGGTTTTTCCTTCACTGAGACTGAAGCAGCCTCATGTGACCAACCTCAGAATGGGATGGGTTTGGAAGAGGAAGCACAAAACCTATAAGCCCTCCTGATCTGGAGAGTCTGGGATAATCTGTTTCTTAGAATGGGTAAATCAGGATAAGAGCTCAGGGTAGGAAGATGCAGGTCTCTAAGGAGGAGAACACAGACTTATGCTCCTGACATGGGGACTCAAAAAAGCAGGAGCCAGATCTGAAAAATGTTCATTAGACCAAAAACAAGACATAGTGAGAAACTGGGTCCCCAAGATGGCTGCCAGGTCAAAGTGATCCAATGAAGGGTGATGTCAGGGATGGCCTCCCCTCCAGCTCAGGAGAGACTGGATTCCTTAACATCCCTTCAGAAAAAGTAGGGCCCTGTGGAGAGTCTTTCTAGCACAGAACAGGAAACCCAGGAGGTCTCTTCCCTCTCTGACCAAATAGAGGTCTGTGTTTTTTGTTTTTAAGATGTATTTATTTATGCATACAAGACCTGGGGTACAGGCCAGAGATGGGGGGTGGGGAGGCGAGAGGACAACAGGCGGATTGACTGAAATACACTGCTGAGGGGAGCAGCAGGTGAGACAGGAGAGGTCTGCTGCGCCATGTGGGTCACCTTCCTGGCCAGCCAGGAATAGAACTCATGCTGCAGAGGCTGCCAGTATCTACATGGTGCTGTGCTTAACCCCTTGCACCTCCAGGGAGGCCCCGGAAAGAGGTCTGTGTTCTGACCATGACTCTATTTTCTCCTGGGGTGTCAGCCTGAGGGAGATCTGAAGCCACGGAGGCCTTGCAAGGTCCCTCTTACCTGAGCGCTGCAGCGTCTCCCTCCCGTTTTCCAGGAATCTGAGAAGCGACTCCAGGCACGTGCCCTGCAAGTAGTTTCTGCAGAACCCTCTGTCTCCCGCCTCCCACTTGCTGCGGGTGATCTGAGCCACCTCATCAGCTTCATCCGCCACGGTCCAGGAGCGCAGGTCCTTGCTCAGGGTCAGGTAATCTGCGCCATCGTAGGCGTGCCGGCTGTACCCGCGGAGGAGGTGCCCATCGGGCCCCACGTCGCAGCCGTACAAGTTCTGGAAGGTGTGAGACCCTGTCCCCGTCCGCGTCACCCCGCTTCAGCCTCGCCGTCCCCCCCCCCCCGCCCCCGGGAATAAACCGAAACTGACCGCAGGGAGCAAAGCCCCGCGGGCTCTTCCCGGGGCGGGCCAGGGCGGGCCCACCTGCCTCAGGGGCGGCTCCGACGCGGGGTCTGGGGTTCCCCGCCCGCCCGCGGGATGGGGTCGCGCCTCGGCCCGGCGCTCACCCGCCTCGCTCCGGTTGTAGCGGCCGAGCAGGTAGAGCACGTCCTCTCGGAACCGCTGAGCCCTGGCCTTTATGTCCCGCGTCTCCCCCTCCCAGTACTCCGGCCCCTCCCGCTCCATCCAGGGCGCCCGCGGCTCCACCCTTGGCCCCGCTGCGTCGCTGTCGAACCGCAGGATCTGCGTGTCGTCCACGTAGCCCACCATGAGAAAGCGGGGCTCCCCGCGGCCGGGCCGGGACATGGCGGTGTAGAAATACCTCAGGGAGTGGGAGCCTGGGGGCGCAGGGGAGACCCGGGCTGAGCCTCCTCCCGCGCGGGTCCCGGCCCCGGGGAGGGGCGAGGGGTGGGCTAAATTGTTCCGGGGCGGCGGGGCTGGAAGGGCCGAGACTCCGGGGCAAGAGGCGGCGGGGCGGGGAGGGCCAGGGAAGGACCGGGACAGGTCGGGCTGAGGGGGACAACGGGGGGCGACGGGGAACCGACCCTTTACCGGGTCCAGCGCCGCCGCCACCGGGGGATCCCCTTGCCCCCCTCCTCAGCGTTGGTTTCCCTCCCGACCCCACTCACCCGCCCAGGCCTCCGTCGGGGCCAGCGCCCCCAAGAGCAGCAGCAGGAGGAGCGGGGGCCCCATGGTCCTCGCCACCCGGCCGAGACGCTGGGCGCCCGGGCGGGGCGGGTGGAGACGCGGTGCCTGGAGCCCGGGGACGCTGACCGGCTGCTCGGCGCCCTCAGGCCGCGGGGAGAGGGAACTGGGCTGAGTCACCAGCGTCCAGGCGGGAGGGCCTGACACAGGTCTTGCAGGGAGAGGTGCCACTGGGGGAGGTGGGAGTCCCCAACAGCCACCTTCCCCGCCCCAGACACCGCCCTGGGACCGAGACCCGAGAGCCTCACCCCGGGCCTGGGGCTCGCCCCGCGCCCTCCTCCTCTTCTGCTCCGAGAGCTTCCTCCAGGCCCGGGGCTGCCTCACCGAGTCTCACACATTTTCGTTTCAAAATCTCTGTGCAAGCAGACGTCCAAATTCTCAAGGACCGCCAAGTATAATATTGTTAAGAGTTGGCGCCTCAACTCCGTCCAGGGTTCCCAAAGGCCACACGGAGCCAGAGATGCAAAAGCAAAAAGGCTTTATTGCTAGCTTAAGCTAGGGCCCAACTCTGCCTGGTGTACTGACACAGCAGTCTCACCAGGTTGAGAGAGGAAGCCCCTCCCAGAGCAACCAGCTGTTTTTGTACTTTGTTGACAGGATGCGGGGATTTTTCACACCTGGGGCAGGGTCCACCCTGATTGGATAGCTCTCATGGTGCCAGGTAGGTTTTGTTTACCCTTGGCTTGTGGTTTTTGCCCCAAAACAAAACTAGGGCATAGCTGTGCCCTTCAAAATGTCTGTTTTCCTTCAAATGGCTGCTGTCTTGCTATGCCTAATTCTTTAATATCTTAAAATCCCCCCTTTTTCTTGTAACTGTGAGAGGAGGCTAATCCTAGCCTCACAGTTGGTCTTCTAATACTTGCAGGTATTGGCTGTGTAAGACCAGCATTTGCACTGCATTAAGTCGTTGCGGATAAAAGCAAGCAAGTGATTGAGTATACAAGGGCCAAATGTGAGCATTAGTATGAGCAACACTAAGGGTTTGACAAAGTTGAAAACTTGCCATCCTTGTACAAAACATTAACTTTTTTTTTGAGTTCTCTTAGACCACGACCTCTGAAAATCAGATGCTAAACCATTTATTTAGTTGTCAAGAGGTATTATTTTTAGTTATAAATGAGAATTACTCTGCTCAAACAAGGGATTTTTTTTTCTTTTCTTTTCTTTTCTTTTTTTTTTTTTTTTTCCAGTTAGCCAGTCACAGAGTTATTTATCTGGTCACTAAACATTAGCTATTGAGAAAAACAGGCTGCCGCCCATCAGTCTTAATGCTAACCTTTTTTTTTTATTTTATTTTTTCTTGCATAAATGAGTCTCCTGCCCTAATTAAACCACCTTCGTTATTACTTGAAGGAAACTAAGGCCAGCGTTAACACATTTGTTTAGTTGTCTTTATTTTTGAAGCCTTTTTAAACTCTTTAGAGGTCCCCTCCTGCACTGTCCCTAAAACTGCCTAATTACCCTAACTTGTCCTATGTTTTATTTTTTCCCTTTTGTGAATGGAGCCCCTAATTGCAGTCAGGGAAAAGAGCCTCATTTTGATCAGTAACTGCTTCCTGCTGAAAGTGGGCGATGAGGGGAAATAGTCAGGGCTCCACCGCGGGGAGACGATTTAAGGGACCTCGAAAGGACATTGGAGGCTTTATAGTTTGATGGTCTCCAGGCGAGAAATGACCCTGATGAAGTCATTGAGAATGTAAGGCCCAAACAAGAGAAAAACAAAAAAAAAAAGATTTTAGTTCAAGAGTGAGGAGGTTTAAGAGTAAGGAGGTCACAATTTTTTTTTTAACTTTAGCTATTTACAGGTCTAGGGCTTTGGGGTTTTATACATACTTAATTTTACTGTAGTTACTAAAATGTGACCCTTTAAATGTTAGTACATAAAATTTTAAATTTAAACATATACAAACAAGTAGCCTCGTAGCACGCAAGGTAGTAGTGCTGTAAAGTGTCCTGGCTCCGGCTGGCCATTTGTACTAATAAGGGGGACAATCGACCAGTAGGTAAATCCAAAGAATTGGAGTAAGGCAGAGCAAGTGGCCCCTTATTTACCAAAAAGGTGATTTTTTTTTTTTTTTGTCTGCTACTTCTAGGGTCACCTGAGGCTTATCCATATAAACAGTAAACAGGGGAGCCTGTCTCACCTTTGGGCTTCTTCAGAGAAGGTCTTTTCCTGCACCGGGTTCTTCATCAGAGGCAGCTGACCGTCAAGCCTGTCCTCCCATCCTGGCCCATGGTTTGGGCTGGCCCCCTCCCTCTCTGGAGAGTGGGACAGTCCCTCTTTTCAGTGCCCTGTACGATGGCACTGAAAGCATGGCCCTGGGGACAGCTTCTTGCAGCTGAGGTGTCCTGGTTGCTGGCAGTGGAAGCAAGCTGGCAGCCCATAGAGAGGTTGAGGTCCCGAATGCCCTAGGGCGCGTGGGGCCTTGGGTGAGTTTGAGGTGGCAGAGTACTATGATTGCAACTGCCATTTATTGGCCTTTTTTTTCTTTTTTTTGTCTAGCCAGTCCCCTCCATATTACTGTAGGCCTTGAAGGCCTTGTCTAAAAGTGTTAAAAGGATTTTAGGCCCTTGATTTAGTCTCCAGAGCCTGCATCTGATGTCAGAAAAAGACTGGCTAAAAGATACATATTTTAATTATGCATTTTTATAGGTCTTATACAGTCTCTATATAATAAAGATTAGAGACCACTTGTCTATTAAGTAACACCAAAACAGTGAATAATATTTTTTTTAATTTTGAACAATTAAACATTATACTATTTTTTTATAGTGTCTACATATAATACTGGAGAGAAAAATACTGAAAACACAAAAGTTATTATGCTGCCTCTTTTGTGAAGAAGCTAATTAGTTGTTCTTACCTTTTTTGTTATTAACTATAAAACAGGTGTTTGTTATAAATTATTTTACCTGCCCTGTATTTAAAATGTTAATATTATATATATATATATATATATATATATATATATTTACATATACCACCTTTTTGCCTGGGGCACATGGGATAAAATAGTTGGTTTTTTCAACCAAGTAATGAAAAGGCAATTGCCAAAATCCAGCAATGCACTACCAAAAAGGCAAGGGATTTTATAAAATACAAAACTGAAACTTTTAAATTTACTTACGAAGCTAAAATCTTTATATGAATTTTTAACCAGAGTCCAGACTATTACCTTATTAAAAGAAGTTTAGATAAAAGCCTAGAAGTAAGTTTGTTAGCATAAACCAGATTAATTATTATTTTTTTGTATAGCATAAGTAAACACATTTAAACAAAGTAAAGTATTAATAATACCCAACACTAAAACCTTAAGGCATGTATGCTTTAAACCATTAAATTTTGAATTAGATTTTTTTAACCACAATTTTAGATCACGATTTCAAAATTTAGGATTTTCTATAGGCGCCATTTATAATTAATCCTCCAGAGGCAAAAAGTAAGAACAAAGGGATTTCTTGATTTTTATTTAAAATTTTTGGCCATGTGCACTAATTTTAAGAAACTGTTATTTTTACCAATATTTGCAAAAACACTGAGAAACTACAATTTAGTAAACTCCAGTTTCTTAGTAATAATTTTTAAGTTTGACACATTTATTTAACCAAGTTTTTAATATTTTTTTTATTTTAAGCAGGTTTTTTTTTAATAACATAGAAGTTAAAATTCTTACATACAACAAGTATCTAGTTCTAACCCTTACTTAGAACCTAGGGTCCAAGACCACAACAAATTTAAAGTCAAGCAGTTTGTACTAACTTTCTTAGATAAGAAAAACATTTCGAGTTTGTATTTTTAAATAATTATTATTTGGCTTTACATTGTTTTAGTTCTGTCTCACTGAGACCAAGGACATTTTATAAGACAAAAGACTTTTTTTTTTTTTTTTTTTTAGAACCATGTATGGGGAGGACAGGAGAAGAGGAAGAATAAGATCTTTTTTTTACAGTTTGCCTGTTCTCAGACTCTTATCAGAAATTAATTAGTCTTAATAAGAAACTAAACTTTTACAGGTCCAATGAGCAATTTAAAAGTTTTTACTCAATTAAAAATTACCTTTTATGGCTCGTTAGCAAGTCCGAAGTAACTCAGCAGTTTTTACCTTAAACAATCTAGACTTTCAGATCAGAAAAACACTGGGAAATAGAATTTTTTTTCCCCTAAAATGAACCAAAATCGTGTTTCAAGGTGGACAAAGGGAGAGTCCAATTCCTCCACAGCTGGAAGGCAGCAGAGACATACCAATGAGCTCAACACTGGAGAAAAAGTCCAGGCAGCTGCTTGCTGAGACCAGAGGCAGTCCCCCACCAGCCAGGTGTAGTGGGTCCTTTACTTTTTTAGTCCCCAGCATTTTACTTTTTGCCTTGACTGTGACCAAAGACAGTGGGGTAGATGTTGCCTGACCCATGATTACGAACACAAATGCAACAAGGACAACAGACACCAGGAGACCCGGACAAAAGACTACAGACAACAGAAACAGGCCCTCGGGCTTACCGGAGAGGACAGTGATCGTTTTCCAAATCAATGTCCCGGCCTGTGCCATGGGACTGGTTCCGGAAAATGCATTGGAACCTGCTCCAGAATACACATCAGAGTCCAATGACCTCGTGCACCCCAGATTTCCGGAATACGCATCGGAACTGGGCCTCATACGCCCCAGAAAAATCTGAATTTCTCTGGGCGTCGGCCGTCGCGGGTTTGAGACGTCTCTCTAAACCCCATGCCCCTGGCCGACTGGCACGTCTGCCCGACCCGGAAGCCCATATACCACAAATCAGATGTCCTCCTCTGGCCTAAGCCTTTCTCTGGCCACCTTGTGTAGTAATTGGGGATCCCGGACCAGCCTCCAAAATGTTAGGAGTTGGCGCCTCAACTCCGTCCAGGGTTCCCAAAGACCACACGGAGCCAGAGATGCAAAAGCAAAAAGGCTTTATTGCTAGCTTAAGCTAGGGCCCAACTCTGCCTGGAGTACTGACACAGCAGTTTCACCAGGTTGAGAGAGGAACCCCCTCCCAGAGCAACCAGCTGTTTTTGTACTTTGTTGACAGGATGCGGGACTTTTCACACCTGGGGCGGGGTCCACCCTGATTGGATAGCTCTCATGGTGCCAGGTAGGTTTTGTTTACCCTTGGCTTGTGGTTTTTGCCCCAAAACAAAACTAGGGCATAGCTGTGCCCTTCAAAATGTCTGTTTTCCTTCAAATGGCTGCTGTCTTGCTATGCCTAATTCTTTAATATCTTACAATATTATGCAGATAAAACTATCAATCTTTACCATACAGGGAATAAAACCATTTTAAGCATTTTTTCTCATTTAGAAAATTAAGAATGATCCACCGCATGTTAACTGTTTTAAAGAAAATCAGCTTTCTGAAAATAATCATGGTGGTGAGAAATGACCTTTTACAGTTTATAGTTTACAAGTGTCGTCTCTGTCTCATAGCAGTTGAATTGTCATATTTTCTTCTCCGTTTAGTCTGTTGTTTTGGTTGGTCAATTAAAAACATATAGCCTTAAAGAAATATGTAGGAATAGCATTTTATAATCTTTTAGGATAATTGTAGGTATTCAAGTTTGTTACAACTTTGATAATAAATTGAAATGTACAATGTTAATTTTTCACATGTTATTTGCAAAGAGAAAACTGATACACTCACTGAATGTTTTCTATTGTTACATGAATTCCATAGACCTCTCTTGCATATTAATAGATCTTGAACTAATATGATTTTTAAAAGCAAAGCATTGTTTCACTAGGTTATATGAACAAGGCGTTTATTATTCTAGAATCAAATTTTTAAAATTGTATATATTTGTTTTATATTCCAAACATCTCAAAGGAAAAATTAGTTGGTACAGAAAGTTGTCAAACTTATAATGATGGAACTCAATTTTCTAATACCTGGTTTTCCCTTGGAGTTTGCATTTTATCATGGCGAGTAACTACTATCAGTTTACAACTGTCAGTAGGTTTTCTTAAAGGAAAAGACACATTCAATTTCTAGAAAGTGCCTACAAGTTACCTAAATCTATAAAATGAGTTTTGTCATTCATTCCTTCAAATAAAGATGGTATTGCCTGAAAAATGAGTCTATTTAACCTCATACAAATTGTTTTTCTTGGAACATACTACTTTAGATTGTAGCAGAAGTGATTTATTTATATGTACTGAGCTTTCATTGTTTACAATTTTTTTCTCTCAGGGCTTGAGGAGATGCTTCCCTGCTTTCCTGAGCCTCCCTGTCCAGGACTGCACAGCTCTTCATACTGGACAGGGTGTCTCTGTCCACATCCTTGACCCCTCCCCTTCTGCTCCCTCCTGTGCAGCCTGTAAGGCAAGTGATTGTCAGGCTTTTCTGCCCTTCCGCCATTAGGATTAATGATGGTGGACACCAGGGGTGGGGTGTGGGCATGCATAGGTAGGTATCCCTGGGCTGAGACTTGCTTACAAGGGCGGTGTCACGGAGACGCCAGCAGAAGAGCAGCAAGAGGAGAAGAGGGCAGAAACAGCAGAGCAGCAAAGGAGAAGCAGGACCACGAGAGAATGCCAGAGAGCCCAGAAAGAGTGAGGACTCACCAGGGGCTGGGAGGCCTGCCACCTCCCAACCTCTGGCACCCCTCCCTGCCGGTGTACCTGATAAAAAGCCCATTAAAATCCTGAAAAGCCACCGCAGCTCCAGGACTCTCCTCCTTTACCCATCTGCATAGGTTCATGGAGATCCTGCACTGGCACTACATTGGCATAGTTGGCAGATGTTATGGAGCCCTCCAAAGGCCTCAGGAGGGCCTGAGGAGAAGCTGGCCATGAGCCTGCGACAACACGGGAGGCGCCATGGCGGCACAGGTGGTGACCAAAGAGCAGGAGCTACGGGAAGAGTTAAAGATGCTGCAGGAGCAAAGGAGGAGAGGGGCCCTAAGAGGACCAGACCATGACCCCTGAGGCAGCAGAATCTTGGTGAAAGAAAGGCGCATGATTTGGAGGTGGCCAGTGCTGGTGCAAGGAAAAGACTGATGGACTGACAATTCCACCAGAAGGCCGAAGAACCTTGAAATGTTGCCACTGTAATCTCCCCAGAGATCTCTCACCCACATCTGTTCCCAGCGTCTCTCTCCATGTCCCCCAAGTCGCTGGCACAAGTCCAAGGCTGAGAAGTAATCACAGTTTCTTCACCTGTTCCCAGCTTTGCTGCCATTAGAGCCTGGAAGGGAAGGTGAAGACCTGAAACTGGGCACCTCCCTGAGCTGTGTAAGATGTGGGCAGTTTGTCAGGCCATTTGGCTACTGCAGCTGCTTTTTCAATGCTGATTGTCTGGTTCTGTGCTGACCCCTCTCAGCAGCTCCATGGAGCGTCTCATGTTGTGTCTTCTGCTGGCTTAGTGAGCTGGATACTGGCCTGTTGTCTGGCTGCCATAGGCTCCAGGCCGTCAGTGGCAGGAAGATATCCTTTTGGGAGCCATGTCTTTTTTCAGGATAGGTTTGAACATCTTCAGTGGCAGGTGGGTGCCATCTTAGATGCCTTTTGTTCAGGACTTCAAAACACTGGACACTACTTGGGGTGAGATAAGCAGCCCTGCCGGGGACCAGCCTCCGGCAAAACGTCGTGTCAGGGTTCCTGAAAGGATGAGACGGCGTCGGCGAAAACGAAAGATCTGAAACTTAAGGGCTGAGGGGGAGGGAAATGAGGTAGAATGAGGAGACACTGACACTTGGTGAGGTGCTAGTATCTTCTGCCGAGAGACTCAGCAGGTCTTTTTTTTTATTCATTATTAGTAATAATAATAAGCAAATACATTATCATGTGTAAAGCAAAAACAATTAGTATATTATGTTTCCCATAGACTACTGGCCCCTACAGGTCTCAGCTAGACGGCAGCTTTCAAGGTTAATAGATAATAAACCAGACCTAACATTAAAGCTACTTATTTTTTCATTTAGACAATTATTTAAAACAGCGAATAACCGCCAGTGCATCCCTATCAGCTAAAGCCTAAGCATCAAAGGACTCTTCTATTCACATGACCTTCAGCCGGAGACCAGCTGCTGCTTATTTATCAGAACTTTTTCTACCTACAAACTTCTTAACACAGTTAACTTCATTTAAAAACTTTCCTAAGAAACTTCTAAATAAAAAGGAAACTTCTAAAAATCAAAACAAGGATATACTATAATTGTTATGCTGGATTGCTTGTCAGATATATACAATAAATTGTCTCCCATTGTTAATTGGGCCGAATTGTGTAGTAACTAATTTCTAAACAGGTAATTTTCTGTGCCAATTGCTTGCAGTCCACTGATACATATAATTTATAGCCCAATGTACCTTTCTGATAAATTTTTCTCTCTCTATGACCAAGAATAAAAAGCAAAGGGATGCCAGATCTTCAGCCCCACGGTGTGAGGCCTTTTCTCTTAGCTGCTTGTCAGTATCCTATCTGGCTGGAGCAACAAGGCCTCCTGCAGCACAGCCCTTGTGGCCTTAGTGATTCTTTGTCTTTCCTGTTTGTTAAATAAATCCCTTATTGTTGTTCTATGAATGTGAGTGGTCTTGCAATTGTGCACGCGGGTTAAGAACTCAGACAGTGACCTATAAACTGTTTGGGCACTGTCCTTGGCCAGTTTTAGTGCCTCTTTTGCCCTGTATCATCTTTATTTTGTGCTTTTCCTTTTAGACTTGCCTGGCTGCTTCTACCACTTTCCTATGAGTCTCCTCCAGAAGGTGCCTTAGTCTTGTTGTAAGCTTTCAGACCTCAGCAGTCCTGCTCTGGGTCAACCCTGTTTGACTGGACATTTACACCCAATGGGATGGTAACTTTGGGTGTTTCATTTAGTAACTACTTTAACTATGGTCTTTCTGCACTGTGTGCTTATTGCACTAAGTGTGCAATAAAGGATCTATTGAGATCTATTGAGGATCTTATGCATTAGAGTATGTCTTTATGCAATTGGTGGCAGAACCCATTTAAATGTGCAGGTTTGAAGGTCTGGGGTGCTTCTCATGCAGTCCATTATCATGTCTGATACAGGGCAGCAAGGGGCACTAAAGCTGGCCAAGGACACTGCCAGAATAGTTTACCAGTCTGAGTTCTTCCCCCGTGCATACAATTACAAGACCACTCAGGCTCAGAGGACAAAAATAATGGGGTTTATTCAAAAAAACAGGGAAAAACAAAGAGTTACTGAGACCACAAATGGCTGTTTACCTCACCTGAAGCAGGGTCCAGTTTTTTAAAGTCCTAAACACAAATGTTCCCAAGGAGCGTCTTCCTGCCACTGAGGGCCTGGAGCACGTGGCAGCCAGACTATAGGCCAGGATCCAACTCACGAAGACAGCAGAAGACACAGCAGGAGATGCTCAATGGAAATGCTCAGATGCCCCAGCACAGCACCAGACAAGCAACTCTCAAAACAGCTGCTGCAGCAGCTGAAAGACCTGACAAATGGCCACACACAAAGCTTAGAGAGATGCGGGGCTCCAGGTCTCACCTTCCCTGCCAGGCTGTCACAGCAGCAAAACCAGGAACAGTTTCAGTCACTCAGCTACTTGCAAAGCCTCCGAACATTTCCTCTCTGAGTTTGGCTGCAGAAAGCACAAATAAATGGACAAATATTCCTTTTCCTTTTGAAAAAGAACAAATTGCAAAGTTTACAGTACCTGAATTCAAAATTTACTAAAGCTGCATTAATCAAGACAGTGTGATACTGGCCTAAGTCCTGACAGTTATCAAAAGAACAGAGTGTATGGAACTAGATACACTTGGGCAATCACTTAATTTTTAACAAACACAGCAAAGTAATGCAATGGGGTCAAGGAAAACCTTTTCAATGAAAGGTACGGTAACAATTGGATATTCAACTGGAAAGTTTATTTAAAAGGAACCTGAATATTCTTCAGCATTGCTCTTATCCAATGCTGAAGTGACACATTAGTAATGTATCACTGCTGATTAGTGTCAGCAATCAAAACAGTGTTTCCACTATTCTAGTGCTATTCCTACTACAGGGATAGCGCCTTATCTTCATTAAAAAAAGCTTTTTAAATTATTAAAATAGCAATAGTCATTAATAACAGTTCCAGTATTAAAGAAAAAGTACACAATAACTGTCCATTATCATACAACCCAGGAATCACTGAAATTGAGATGATGTTTTTAAGCTTCTACAAATGATATCATAAAATTTGTATAATGCCTTTTTTACCTAATACTATTTTGCATGTGCTTCTTTTTTTATGATTTCTTGCAATTTTATTATTTTGTTTGAATGTAATGTGACCATATTAGCTTTAATTTCAACTTATGACATTTGTATGTCATTTTCATGACATTTCATTTCCCAAAGAAATAAATTTTAACTGCAAGCTATATCTAAATTGCACATCTAATAAACATCTATTTCCAGAGTATTGAACAAACTCATGACTCTTCTTTTTTTTTTCTTTTTTTTTATTGTTTTTATGTATATTACTTTTTATTTTTTTAATAATTAATTTTATTTTTATATTCCCCCATACAACTGCACATGCCCCATTCTGACCCCAATCCCTCCCCTCCCGGCCCCCCCCCAATAAGTGTCTCTGGTTCATAGTTTTTTGTTGATTTTGATTTTCACTTTCTTATAGTTATTCATTTTCCTGATCCCTTATTTAAGTTTTCTAGATTCCTGCTATGAGTGAGACCATCCGGTATTTTTCTTTTTCTTTTTGGCTTATTTCGCTGAGCATGATCCCTTCCAGCGCCATCCATGTTGCTGCAAATTGCATGTGTTTATCTTTTTTGAATGCTGAGTAATATTCCATGGTATATATGTACCACATCTTCTTGATCCAGTCATCCATTTTTGGGCATTTGGGCTGATTCCAAAGCTTAGCTATTGTAAATAGTGCTGCTATAAACATAGGGGTGCAGGTGTTCTTTGGAATTGATGTTTCTGTGTCCTTTGGGTAAATACCTAGGAGTGGAATTGCTGGATCATATGGAAGCTCTATGTTTAGTAGGTCCAGAAATCTCCACACAGCTCTCCATAGTGGTTGGACCAGTTTGCACTCCCACCAACAGTGCAGGAGAGTTCCTTTTTCTCCACAACCTTGCCAACATTTGTTGTTGCTAGTTTTTTTAATATGTGCCATTCTCAATGGTGTAAGATGGTATCTCATGGTAGTTTTGATTTGCATTTCCCTGATTACAAGTGATGTTGAACATTTTTTCATATGTCTGTTGGCCATTTGCATTTCCTCTTCAGAGAAGTTTCTTTTTAGCTCTTCTGCCCATTTTTTGACTGGGTTATATCCTTTGTTGTTGTTGAGTCTCATCAACTCTTTGCAGATTTTTGTGATTAGTCCTTTATCATTAGTATTGGGTGCAAAAATGTTCTCCCAGTTGGTGGGGTTTCTCTTTGTTTTTGTTATTGTCTCTTTTGCGGTGCAGAAGCTCTTTAATTTGATGTAGTCCCAGCTGTTTATCTTTGCCTTCACTATCACTGCTTTGGGTGATGTGTCTGTAAAGATGTCTTTGATATGCAAATCACGTAGTGTTTCACCTATATTTCCTTCTATGTATTTTATGGTTTCAGGTCTTATGTCTAGTTCTTTAATCCATTTTGAGTTGATTTTTGTGTATGGTGTGAGGTAGTGGTCAAGCTTCATTCTTTTGCATGTAGCAACCCAGTTTTCCCAGCACCATTTATTGAACAAACTTTCTTTGCTCCAATGCATAGTCTTTGCTCCTTTGTCAAAGATTAGTTGACCATAAATCTGTGGGTTTATTTCTGGATTTTCTATTCGATTCCATTGGTCTGTATGTCTGTTCTTGTTCCAATACCATGCAGTTTTGATGATTATGGCTTTGTAGTATAGTTTGAAGTCTGGGAGTGTGATGCCTCCATTTCCTTCTTTTTTTTCAGTAGAGCTTTGGCTATTCGGGGTTTTTGGTGATTCTATATGAATTTCATCAATAATTGTTCTATTTCTTTGAAGAATGACATTGAAATTTTGATTGGAATAGCATTGAATCGGTATATTGCTTTTGGTAGGATGGCCATTTTAATAATGTTTATTCTTCCAATCCATGAGCAGGGGATGTCTTTCCATTTCTTTGTGTCTTCTTCTATTTCTTTTAACAGTGTTTTATAATTTTCTTTGTATAGGTCCTTTACCTCTTTTGTTAGATTTATTCCCAAATATTTGATTTTTTTTGTTTTGATAATAAAAGGGATGTTTTTTTTTTATTTCTTCTTCTTCAGATTTATTGTTTGTGTATAGGAAGGCTACTGACTTTTGCATGTTGATTTTGTATCCTGCCACTTTACTGAATTGATTGATAAGTTGAATTAGTTTTTCTGTGGAGTTTTTGGGGTTCTCTATGTATATTATCATATCATCTGCAAATAGTGATAGTTTGACTTCTTCTTTTCCTATTTGGATTCCTTGTATGTCTTTCTCTTGTCTTATTGCTCTGGCTAGGACTTCCAGTATTATATTGAAAAGCAGTGGTGAGAGTGGACATCCTTGTCTTGTTCCAGATCTTAATGGAATTGCTTTCAGCTTTTCACCATTGAGGATGATACTGGCTGTTGGCTTGTCATAGATGGCCTTTATGATGTTGAGGTATGTTCCTTGTATCCCAAGAATTTCAAGGGCTTTTATCAAAACTCATGACTCTTCTATGGAAATTTCCCATTTCACAATCCTCTATCAAAAATGTGATTTGACTGTTGAGCAAGCAAGGAAACAAGGGTGGAACAAATTTATTTATTTTTTTGTTATGTTAGACATATTTTGTGTACTTTGTATACTTAGTTATGATACTGACCACTAGGAAATTTAGGGCAGGTTTCAAAACTGAGCATTTTGAAATTATATTCAAGCATCCTGTTACAAGAAAAACCTCAGAAGCAGTCTCCAGGCAGTAAAATGGATGACAGGTAAGATGGTCCATGGCCACTGCTGACTATTGAAGCTCAGGCAACATGAACTAACTGGTCAACTATGGTCTCATCCAGGAATTTCAACATTATGTTCAGGAATAAAGTTGGCCACTTCATGTGGCCTTCCACTATAGACCACTTTGTGAAGTGAAGACCAGAGAGAGGCAAACTTCAGGGAGAAAGAAGACAGGAGGAAATGCAAAAAGGAGAATCAGATTTGGACCAAGAGCACTTCCTAGAATCTATCAGCTTAGTTGGGTTTCACTTCCTTCCAGAAATCTAGTGCATTCCTGCCTTTGAACTCTGTGAAACTTCTCAATCATTGCAATACCCAGCTCCCAACCTACTTTATGTCAAATCAATTTTCTGTTAAAGGGGCCCATATAATACAAGGTGAATATGACTTGTGGGAGATTTTCTCTCATCAGCAACCAACCCTCCTCATGTTTATTATATTCTTTGACTTTGCCCTTGGAGAGATTTTGTCCTTCAACCTAAGGGTCTCTGTGAGCTATAATCTTAGTGTTTCCAGCTCACATACTGAGGTGCTGATAGAATTACTCAGGTCATCTCTGCTCTCCTGAAGTCTCAGTGTCAAATTTGTATGCATCTTTTCCTGGCTTGAGAAAATAACTTATCAGAATGCATAAGATTCAATGATCAGTGACTCCTTCAAGTAGTTTAATTCTAGTGCCTTTCTAATCTTGGAAATGAAATCAAATTTAATTTGCTCTATTATTGTTCACAATGTAGTCAATAATTGTAATACTCTGAAAAGGAAGCATTTGTTGATTTTTGAATGTCAATCTGTTTTCAAAATTTTTGTTGGGTGAAACATAAATTTACACGGCATATTTTCAGTGACTACAAGAAGAAGAATGACATTCACTAACAATGTTAAAATATTTCAGTATTACCAATGCAATTTTTATTGGTCCGTATAGCTGAAGGGTTTGTCCAGAAAGACAATAAAATCATAAAGATATACCTAATATTAACACAACTCTAAAATATCCTTATATGAATTTTTCTCTCATAGACCAAGAAAATTATCTTTTCAATTCATTTGGCAATTCTGTCTACTTTTTATGATATATTTTTAACTTTAAACCCATTTACAGATATACTAGGTTTCAGACACTTGATTTCTCTATACTTCTGTAAAACACCCACTCTTAAACTATTGTGAACATTTATTAAAAGAAGTAACACGGGCCTCCCTGATGGAGCAAGGGGTTAAGCACTGCACTATGAAGCAATCCACAGCCTCTGCAGTTCGTCCCCGCCAGCCAGGAAGCAACCCACATGGCACAGCAGACCTCTCCTGACTTGCCCGCTGCTCCCCTCAGCAGTGTATTTCAGTCAATCTGCCTGTTCTGTTCCCCACTCTGTCTCTGGTGAATCCTCTCACCCCCCCAACCCCCGCATCTCTGGCCTGTACCCCAGCTCTTATATGCATAAATAAATGAATCTTTTTTAAAAAGGACAAGTAACTCAAGCAAATTCTGTTCATTAAATATTCAGCACTCTTCTAGATGCTGTGGATGATTTAGGGAAAAAAAAAAAAGATGTGTTCTTTGCCCTCCTTTACCCAGTAAAGTAGCTGGGGAATCTATAAAGCAATAGTGATAAAACAGGACAACGTAGAGTGAGGTGGGTGATGGTTTTCTTTTTTAAGTTATGAGATGAGGAGACAGAAACACAAAAAAGGAAACAAGCGAAGAACAGAACATGAAGAAAAGTACACTTTCACTTCTGGCAATTTTTCTCTTCTTCCCTTTTTGGGGCGCCACTGGGATGAACCCAAGCTGAAGAGGTTAGAGAGAACTTCCTAGAGAGATGGGATTTCATTTGGGGACTGAAGGTAAACATAGAACTTGAAGGGAAAAATGACTAAACACAACCTAAGTCAACATAATTATGTTGGCCAATTCCTTATAATACTTGTAAGAAATCATTTTCACACAGACACACACACACACACACACAAACACACAATCTATAGAACTATTTGTCTGGACAACTCTAATACATCTACCCTTTAATTTTTTGCTAAACTGCTATGTACAGTTGGGCATCAGTGCCGCCCTCTTTTCCACCAATATTTCTGTATCTGTCCCATGCTGGGGACAGGGCGGGGCTCTGTGTTTAATGGTCGTTTTCATTAACCTCATGGTTCTCCTGTTCTCAGTCTCCTCTCAGTTCTCTTTTCTGAAACTACATTTCTTCTCTCCTGTGTTAAACTCTTCCTCTGCACCCCAGCATTCGCCCCACACTGTCACAAAAGAAACATAAGGTGCTGATGGTGCAAGAAAAGCAGCAACTCACTGGCAACACAGGTTTTAGGGCATTGTCATCCATCTTCCCATCATAGGGACCATCTCACTGGCCATTTCTCTTCTCCGGCCCTGTCTTCACCATCGAGCTTAACTTCCCTCTATATTTAAACCTTGGTCCCAATTTCTTCACTTTTACAGGAGC